CTCGGAATTACTTTTTTTTTCACATCTCTTCTGTCCATGGGCTGCAAATAACATATTTACATATAAGGGATATTTCTGTAAATAAAGTTAAATTAGTGCTAAGGAAGTCTACAAACGTGATAGATGTGGCATATGTTAAATTACAGAAAACCAAGAAACCGACAATTACTGACGCTACAAAACTATATAACTGCTCGTAATAGTAACGTTATAATCAGTAACTGGTAAATGTGTGGTATTTACTGTGACAATAATATGTAATTCAGATGCTAACAAAGATACCAGTGTTCTATCTTTCGCTGCCCAAGGGACGTCACTTAGCAGCTTGCACGCAATGTCATCTGAACTACAGTAGGATCAGAAAGAAGTGCATCAGTTATAAAGCATGTACACAGCGACGGAGAAGGCAAACGAAAAGCTACTAAAGGAAATATCCACATCCGTAAAAGTTCGGCCAAAATGTGGATCGAAATTTCGGGAGAAACATACACTCACTCATATAGCTGAGCCCTTATGAGAAGCCGCCAATTGTGCAGCTACTCAAGAACTTCACAACATTTTATGGAACCCGAAGGTTCATTACCGTGTTCACAAGATCCCTCCACTGGTCCCTATCCTGAGCCAGATAAATCCAATCCATACCATCCCATTCTATGTGTCTAAGATTTATTTTAATATTGTTCACCAACCTACGCCTTGGTCTTTCCAATAGAAACATACATTATTACTATTATTATTTTTAATAGCAGTAGTAGTAATAGTAGTATTACGTTTATTGTTCTATTTCAACGATGAATGTATATTGAACAATCATAATTATATCAGAAATGCTGCTTAGAATTCTTCTTAAATAAATTTGATTTTCATATGTAGTGAGAAGATGATCGCCGAGATAGCTCAGTCAGTATAGCGTCAGGCTGGATGGCCGGGGTTCGATTTCTGGCAAGGGAAAGTTTTTCCTCTTCTGCACTGGTTCAAAATCGAGTTTGGGGTCCAGTCTGATAAAATAGGTACCGGGGACTCTTAACTGGTGATAGAGCCACTGGAGGATGAAGGTGACCGCTCACCTGCATCTAGTGAAGAGTTCAAGAATGGAGGAGCTATACCTCCGCTCCCCAATATGTCTGCGTGGTACAGTGCTGCCTCACAGGAAACATTTCTGTGGCTTAACCAGCACGCTACTGCAGTGTGTCCCCGAATGACGATAGGTAATTCAGGAAACGGCTGATTAACATTTATACCTTGTTTGCTGCGATAATCATTGAATCCATCTATGTCTTTCAATCTGTTCGTAATCAAGTTTCCTAGCATTCATGCAGCATATAGATGGCAGTATTAACGCTGTAGTGAAATCTATACTGCTAGCGTGTGTGCTGACTGTGGGGCAGTACATTAGAGGGAACAGACAGGAAATTATCTGCTACTGTCCATACAAATTCAGGAAGTGGCTGTACTCATTCTTTCATTCAGTCAGCAAAAGTCTGGTTTAATCAGTAAGTTGTGCTCTACAATACTCTTCTCGGTACTTCGTGAACTTTGGGGAGTGCGTGCTTTCTAGAAGGAAAACAACGATTCGCCAACAGTTTAGATACTTACTGCCTGCGTTATAGCCTGCATGTATGTGGTTTTCCTTAGCATTTTATTTTCCGATGTTATTCGCTCAGAGTAATAAATGGACCTCGTTTGAGAGCGATGTCAAGGAAGGACAAAATTGATGTAGGGTTTGAGGTTGTCAAAGAGGCGGTTAAGAAGAATTCTGTCATATTAGTTACAACACCATGTACTTCGTTGAAAGTCACTAAAAATGTGGAGGAAGCAGGCAACTCTTGCTGCCTGTTTCATGTTGTTTCTTGGCTTACTCCGGCGAAATTTTCTTCCGAAACGTCAGTTTCCTTTCAAAGAAGTGCACGGCGTTATATCCCATAAGGCAATTATTTTATTTATTATTATATATAGGATGTTTCACGACTTTAGGGCATAACTGCAGGAGGTGATTTCATAGGTCTTTATGATAAAAAAAGTTCATATAAACACGTGTCCGATTTTGGACGGTTACGGAGTTATGACCGTTTTTTCATTCCCGTACACGCCCTCGTGTGAACCGCGTCTGTAAGCTGGCGGGTCGCTATTTTTAGCCCATAACCTTTCGGGTTTACTGTGTTTTAGACTTGTTTTCCGTGTTCCGGTTTCTGAAGAACACATATTCATTTAAAACCCGGATAATGGGCGAAGTCCAAGAACCCAGTAATCCCTATTGCTACACACCATTGTCAGAACCCTTTAGGAGCTAACCATAAACTTTGATTCTGTCGAAATGACACAATGAGGAATAAGCAGGGTTTTGGTTGCAAGAAAGGATCATATACAGAGGTCCTTACAAACTTGGGTTGACCGATTCATTAAGATAGTCTTGGTTATAAAGAACAAGTTTGACCTAGTAATTCTCTCAGTCCTTAGAGGTGCTTCTGTTTTATTTTCTGTTACTGAGCAGTTGTAGTAGTTACACCGTGAGGTGTATCTCTTAAGGAAATCAATACATGATTGTAAGGTAAGTTAGTATCTTCAGAGACCCACACCTTTTATGCCTTCTTAATTAAGCAGGTACCCCAGAGCCAATAAGTAGTATTCTTGACAGCATTTTCGTAACAAAGTTATTTTTTGCGGTGAGAAGTTGTAAGCCCCACGCCCAACCCCCAAGTTCGAGGACCACCTCTTTTCGGCTGGCCGCGATTCTTTATTCATTATATTCGCAGCTTCCCTCCATACCTGGAGGGCCTCTCCTTCATACGAAATCTGAGGACGCGCCATGCCGTGGTGAAAAGGGACCCACCGTAACTTGTACTCTTCTCCAAATATAATTACAATAACCAAGACAAGGAGGATGAGGTGGACAGGACATGTAGAACGAATGGGGGACAAGAGGAATGCATAAAGATATTGGTGGGAAAGCCAGAAAGAAGGACACCACTGGGAAAACCAAAGCGTAGGTGGGTGGACGATATTAAAATGGATCTTAGAGATATAGGATGGGATGGTATGGATTGGATTGATCTGGCTCAGGATAGGGACCATTGGGGGGATTTGGAACACGGTAATGAACCTTCGGGTTCCATAAAATGCTGCTAAATTCTTGAATAGCTGCAGATTTGGCTTCTCCTCAAGAAGGGCTCAGCTCCATAAGTTAGTAAGTAAGTAAGTAAGTAACTTAATTCTTAACAGCAAAAAAATCCTGTTTTCTACAACCTGTAAAAGCGGGGCCAAGGTTCATCATGGACTGTTGCGCCCGCAAATTATGATATAATTATTAATTCAGTTTCTTATTACTCTCACGCTTATAAACTGACTCACCGTTACTGAGGTGCATCGTGTTTTCAGTGGTTGGTAATAAGAAAGAGGCACCAATGATCTGATCCTTCTAGAAACGTTCAGCATAAATACGTACTTCTCTACTTACAACTAAAATCGTATCGGTGCATTTAAGAACAAAATGACGATGATGATGATGATGATGATGATGATGGTTATAATAACAATAATAATAAAGAAATGAACTGAAAGCAACAGACAAGCTTGCGTTATCCGTAGAAACAGAATACAGTACAAAAGCTGAACAGTTGTCTTACTGATATGCATAGTTTTTTTTTTTTGCCGTGCATTTTGTTCCTCTTTTTCTTTTGCTTTCGCAAGAAAATGTTGTTCGGCTGTTGGCTTGTTTCGTAACATCCAATTAGAGGTTTGCCATCTGCACCGGCCGTCTGTGACTTGAGGGGAACTGCACACAGACACAATCACGTGACGTGCGATGACATATGAATATGAGACGGCGTATCGACATACAGCGACTTGCCATTCTTTCGGATTAAATTTTATAATTGATTATGCCGACATGATTTATTTACTGCCTGTTTGGCATTTATCTTTTTTAGTGTAATAAATTGCGTCCCTGAGCTTGCTATTCTAATGTTTAGGGTATTTTTTTTTTGTTCATATGCATAGGCCTAGTTGCACGTTGTTGGACTTAATTACGACCCGCAGATTGGAAAGAAAAGGCTCCTCAAGTTTTGAGGAGAATTTGTGAGTCCATATTGTTTTGCGAAATGCTTACACGAGTATACAGAGCTGTACCTGGAAATACAAGCGATGCTATGCTTATAAATAATAGGTCTGCTATTAATATCCACAATACCGTGCGTCGGGGGCACGCGGTAGCGTAGTTGCTGAGGCACTATGCTACAAGCCGGAAGGTCGCGGGTTCAAATCCCGATGAAGTCATTGGATTTTTACAATTGACCTAATCCTTCCGGCCGCACTATGGCCCTAGTGTTAACTCAGCCTCTTAACAGAAATGAGTACCAGGTAACTTCCTGGGGAGTAAAGCGCGGACGGAGCGTAAGGCTGACAACCTTACCACCATCTTTGAGCCGATTGTCTAGATAATGTGGGACCCTCAACATCTCACAACCCTATGGGCCTTCACGGCCTGTTACAGGGATATCTGTACTTTTTTTCTTTTTTTTTTTTTACTTTATACCGTATGTCAGTCATGTGACATAATTTTCAGCATCGTCGTGTTTGTAATTTTTATGACTCGGGGTTGCATTATGCTTCATGCAAAGTTTGTAGGCACGTTTATATTATGCCTGTATGCAGAATCTCACATGTGTGTTAATACTTGTAGTTAGTTATACTTACCAGGCGCAAAGCTGAGTACATAGATTTCGTTAGGCTGCCATGTTTATACTTTATATTTGGCACGTAAGTCTACAGAAGATGCAATTTTTTTTTCGAAAATCTATCACCACTCAGTATTTGTATTCCCCCGTATGATGGCGCTAGTATCGCTCTTCACACGGACGGCGAACTAGATTTATGACGAGTGATATGATGGTGTAATATTTAAATTCGCCGATAGGTTCAAAATTAATTGTAGAGGAACAGTATGCAATTACATCAAGTTACTGATTTTATGAAAATTATCCCTCATCCTGTTTTTTTAACAGAGTTTCGGAGTAGACTGCCTCCAACATCAGGTAAGAAGTGCAATCGAGAGAGTGAGGCCTTATCTCCGGAAGCCAGAACCAACATAAGGCAGGATATGTAAAGCAAACATATCGTCGACTAGCTCTAACGATTGGACCAAACTGAGGAGGATTTTTACTTGATGATGGAGACAGATTTCAGTATCATCCTCGCGAACTTTGAAATCTTACAGGTATGTACACAACGGCACGATCATACGCTAAGCCCATATATGTTCAAAGGTTGGAATTATTTGAGTTTGGTTCGGGGCCACGTTAGGTCTACTGTGTTCTTCTGTTTGAAAGTTTCACTTACTTTGAAACAGCCAAGTGCAAGGGGCATTCGGACGGTCCCGGTCTGGCTAGCCAGGGATGTACGGGTTCATTTCCTTACTCCGGAGAAGCTGAAATTATACAATTATCATCGTTGTCGTAATCAGGGCCGGATTAGCGAGTAGCGACCAGGCCGTCCGCCCAGGGGTCTCCAAAAATAGAATTATAATCCATTGATTTTATTGAGACATGCTCTTCAAAAGCACGAAAAGTTTATATTTGTGCTTATTATAAGGAAAAAGAACAAAAATATGTTGAAACCAAGATGTGTTCCTGCCGATAGGGGTATCCACACTTTGTTTGCCTCGAGGCCTCAGAAACTGTAAATGTGGCCCTGATCGTAGCCCTTGCGCTCACAGTGTGAGGCCCAGAACATAGTAAACAACTTGAAAGTTATTCCTTTATACAATAAAATGTTTAGGAATTGTAATTACTTGAATATTTTAATAAAATAAAGCGGACTTTCAGAAAAGGCCATTTAAAAAAAATTGTCAAACATTATGTTTCAACGTATAATATTCCTAAACACCTCAGAGATTCTAATTATCTCTTTGTAACAAACACGAACACATGATGCTTGTATCCTCATTACGGCCGTATATGCGTCTTGAAAATTTATTGCATAAACGTATGAGCTTGTATTTTTCTCAATAAATTGGTCACAGAGACGTTGCACTTCTCAGTAAATATTTATTCGAATTTTACTCTGACGATACTGTGGGAACTCCCTATGTGTGCATGCGTGTGATACTATTCGATAACAACGTTAAGCAAAACTAAGCAAAATTAAGTAAAACTAAGCAGAATTAAGCGAAATAAAGCATAATAAAGCAAAATTAAGCAAAATTAAGTAAAATTAAAACCTTCTGTTAAAATGGCTGCGGCAACGAAGCTTGCAATTTCGATATATCGTATGGAGTCATAAGGTTCCTGAACAGATTAAAGAGGTGACTAGTTATTAACGAAGAATTGCATCTAAATATTTAATTGTAAGCGTATTCTTCTTGAAGGAAAGTGATGACATATCCCAGTTCCACACCGGCGATAATGATTTAATTACCGGAAGACAGAAATATAGGGAGTCGTATCCTCGGTTTATGTCATATCGGATCTGTTAATCTTCTTGTAGCTGCAGTCCACGGTCCGAAGCAAAGTGAACACGACAAACGTTCATCAATTTGAATTGAAATGGACTTTGAACATTCTCAGAACAGACGTGGTATGGTGTGCGCGTGACGGCAATTCTTAAGCTCATGTAATATTATAATTGTGTATCTGCAAGTGTCTTTATGTTGTGCCGTTTACCCCTCGTTTCTCTCGTTCTGTTCTTCTGTGCGTGCTCTAGTCTTACCGTAAGTGACCTGCTAATGTAGCAATATTGACTCAAACACGTAGAATGGCAACCAAATAAAAAAGTCTCCCAAAGGAGTAGCATAATGGTTTAAGTAGTTACTATAGGATTCTGACGATGGTGTATAACACACTGATATATTGGGTTTCTGGACTGAGGCTAGCTCTTTCTAATGGACCCAACAGAATAGGTGTTTCCCTTTTCCTTCACCTGAGGACGGAAACAGATCCAGTTTCCGAAACGTCGTGTTTTTATTTGTTATCTTAAAAACCAGGACGATGGATAAAGTCCAGAAACCCAATATATAATGGTTTAAATTCTCAAAGCCTAGACTCCGTACTGATGATAAGAAGCTTTAAGGAAAAATGCACTGATTTGTTACATTGTGAAAATGCAAGATAAATAATGCAAAACTTAAAATAGTTTTACCCACTTAACGGGCATTGAACATCTGATTTATAAATAATACTTTTTCGTAACTGTTACCGTACTGAAGAATGCCGTTTTCTTGGATGCGGCGTCGTCTATATCTTGTGTGAACCGACGTTTCGGAGCAACATATCGCCTCCATGTTCAGCTTAGAAACATCCGCGAGCGAGGAACCAGCGTGAGCGGTACATTCCTCCGAAACGTCGGTTCACACAAGATCTGCACGGCGCCACATCCCAGAATACGGCATTCTTCATAGTCACCGCTGTGAAAAACTCAAATCATACATATTCCCTTATTGTTCAAGGCATATTCTCTCCTTATTTCTAAGAGCCTCTGTGTCAGAAATATGTTCTTATATTTAAAACTCATATGTGGCTTTCAAAATGATTACAGTTGATCTGTTCTTATTTATCCTTTCCGTACAAGATTTCCTATTATAATTGGGAAACCTGGACATACAAGGTTCTCGGAAACTGCGTAACTAGTCATGACGGCATGGCTTTGACTTTTTGTGGCGGCTTGCACACACGCAGTCACGAATCCTTAGTAAAGATAAAGTAAACTTGTCCCTGTGCTTACCTAATCAAACACTAAGCCATGGGCAGAAGGCAAAAGACATATCGGAGAATAATCCTTTGTAAGTAGGACCATCCAGTTCTGGAACCAGCGGCTTGCAGATGTCTTAGGTACCCTCTTCTCTAAACCAAGTACTTTCTTAAAAGGGTTAGGAAATGATAAATAAGGCGAAGTTAAAGAGGGGGGATCATAAAAAATGCAGTGAAGTGAATTGAAGTGAATTGTGGTGAGGATGTGAAGGGTGCGTAAGTGCAGTGAAGTGGAATGAAGGGAAGGTCACGGTGAAATGTGGGCGCAACAGAACATGACATGTATTTCATTACTGCTACTGTTTAGTGTATTGTATGCTTATTTTTATTAATATTAATTTGTATAATTGAAAATGTAATTGTATTTGTTGTTGTAATTTCATTTGCAGTGTATTCATTCTGTGTAGTGTATTCTTTATTGTCTGTGTTGTTTCGTGTGCTGTATTTTGTTTGAGCGTGGTGTGCTATTTTGTGTGAAGTGTGTTGTGTCTTATTGCAGCACCACTGCTACCGGGTAAAAGCCGTTTTCAATTAAAATAAGTAATAATAATAATAATAATAATTAATAATTAGAACACATGGGGGAATGGACTATAGATCCAGGTTTGCTTGATCTCGACACTCGTTGGTGGTGAGTGGTCAGCTTTATACTCCGGCCGCTTTACCTCCTAACAAACACCCGCCGGTACCCATTGAATGGAGGTTGAGTGGGTCTCATAACAAGCCTGTACGAAGTGAGAAGAAGAAATCCATACCGTGACTCGAACTCCAATCTCTCGTACATTCCATAGTCAGTCGCTATACCGACTGCGCTATTCCTGTTCCCTATTTAGTACTACTACTACTACTACTACTACTACTACTAATAATAATAATAATAATAATAATATAAATGGTAATAGCTAGTGTTAATTTCCTAATTTCCTCATTATTCGTATTTTCGTGCTTATTATTTCTGCACACTGGCGTACAGGCATATGCCGCCTCATTCAAAACTTAACACTCGAAAGCTTCCTTCAGACCGACATTAGGATGTTTTATTACAGCTTTATTGCTTTTCCGTACCTTCAGACATTCAGTGGCAGAACACGTTTTTATTTCTCACGAATCCATGACTTGATTTATTTTTCTGTTCCTCTTTCTCCTACGAATTTTCATATAATTTAATGCCTGTTTCCATTCTATATATGTGGGACTTACTATTACCATTTCTCTGTCTTCTTTTACGTGACAGATGACTACAAAAGGCAGTGCTGGATTTGACGGTCCCACAGCCTTGGCTGTGAAGGGTACGATCTTCTGAATTTCAAAAGCGTGTAGTTTAGTAGAAAAAGTATCAGTGTTTTGGAGGACCTTGTCTCCATGTGTAGGATCGAAGAGAGACCTTAACAAGGAACTAGAAAAGCAGGTTTAAATACATGTTCATAAAATTAAATATTCTGAAACCTATGCTTTGGAATTAAAATCTCACTTTCAGTATGATTTGAGGGTAAGCAGTTTTACAGCTACTCAACTTGTATTTTCCTTTTACAAAACAATTTACTGTAGATAGGCCAATCTTAAGAATGTTACAATAATCTATATTTACAACATTATGCTAGAAGCCGGAAGGTCGCGGGTTCAATTCATGATGATGACTGTTTTTTTTTTCAATTGACTTAGCCCTTCCAGCCGCACTATGGCCTTGGGGTCGACTCAGCCTCCAGAAATGAGTACCAGGAATCTTCCTGGGGTAAAGGGCGGCCGGCGCGTAAGGCTGACAACCTCATCTCCATCTGTGAGCCGATTTCTAGAAAATGTGTGTACCTCGACACCTCCACTGTTTGTTACAGGGATACCTTTGCACCTTTTTACCGTATCACGTATAGAAAGAGAGATACAAATAAATTCCACAGGTTTACTTCTTGGTTTCTAGATACAGAAATAAGTAATAATATTCATAAGAAAAAAAACTTGAGCTTTCCTCAAGAAGTTATAACCGTTAGAAGATATCAGCCTTTGACTTCGCATTACAAGAGCAGTTTGTGTCGCGTGGTGATCATAGATGCCCATTCAACGTTGAATTTTGTGTCAATGTTCATAGTACCAGCAAGGCTTACTTCTAACATACAGCACTGTGGACTTTAACACGTGTTACATTTGAAGTCAGTCTAACGCAATTTGAGCTTGGGGGAGCACGTTACATACCGATTCAATATTGAGAATGGTCATTCATTTACTGAATTAGCGGATGTGTATCTTTTGTTAATGTAACAGAAATGCTACAGATGCTGTTAAGTGATACAGAGAAA